GTTGCCCCAGAGCCCTGAAATCTCTCGATTGCTTTTGATGTTCTTGTTGCCACTTCATCACTACCCACCAAAAGGTGAGTAGTAATCTGAAGGCCTTACTAGGGTGGGAAGTTTTCTTACAATCCAGGCTCTGGGGAGGCAGCAGACTTCCCTATGAAGCAGGTCCAGTCTGCATATTGGGCCCTCTACATCCCTTAGGAGGGAGTCACCCACAACAATGACCCGTCTGTTTTTCTTTCTGGACTGAGTTATGGCTAGTCTAAGGCACTTCTGGCCTATGTCAGGTGTCCTCACCTCTATCAGCAGCCATATATTCTGTCTTTGGATAATGCAGAAAATAAATGAAGTAAAGCTGTTTTGGTAGTGTTTGGTTTAATAATTGCAAGTAATTTTTGCTAGATGTTTCATCCCAAACTTGTATAAATTCTTCAAAAGTTTTTTGGATTGTATCTCCCAAAAACCAAAGCCAAGCCAAACATATACCAACCACCATGGCATAAATTCTAATTTACCAAAACTCAACATAAACTGACTTGCATCTTTAGTGTGACTGTCTATTAATCTCCGCACCTACCCTGAGGGTGGAAACCTGATCACAAATCCCAGAAGTAGCACATTAACATGTTACATGTCGGGTGAACTACAGTTCCTGGTAACCTACCTGTTCCTACCATGCCTCACAAAATAAACTGTATTTTGCTTTGTATATTCACTGTAGCAAGATCTTGGTTGAATGAAAGCTACAGAAGTGGCTTTTTTCAGAAGAAAATCCACAGAAACCACCAGCCCCCATGCTGAAAAGCTTGCAGAACTCAAAAATCTCTAACTTAGCAGTCTTAGATCGGAAAGAAGCAAACAGGTAAACATCAGCAAACCATTTGAATTCAAAACAACTCCTTGAAGCTGAAAAAATAGGAAAAGCTCTCTGTATTCACTGTGACATCCAGGATTAGAGTGCATGCTGACATGGAGATAGGAGGGAAGGGAACAAATACTTGAAGCCTGATTTCAGGACTTGCTGGCTGCTTCTGCATAAAAGTACAGTCTGGAAGGCTGCAAATAACTTTTCCAGAAAGCAGCAATTACAGATGAGATGTACATTAGATGGATAATGCAGGAGCCACCATATGAGAAACCTTCAATTACACAGATCAACCAAATCACACTGGCAAACTAACAGAAGCAGCTTCAACACGCCACAGAATCATGGTTTATATTGACGTTAGGTCTTAATTCAAGCACTGTGAAAGAGCAAGGAAAAAGAAAGGGAGAAAAGGGAAAAAGAGGTTTATAACAACTATGCTAAATAAAGTAAAAAGAATGCCAGGATAGATGTATCTTTTTACAGTTATGGATAGTATCAATTAGATTTCTTCTTAAAGCCAAAAACAAACAAGCAAACTCTCTTTGTAATATGTAAATCTTAAGAAGCTAAACACAGGAAAACAGGAATGCAGCAATTCATAACTGCTTTTTTTCTTTCTACCTTTACTGCACATTTCATTCCTTCTTGAATTGACTAATCACTGTTTAATTGAATATTCCTTTTAAGAAAGTAAAAAGAATTTCCATGTTCTTTGTAAGTGTAAAAGACTTCACTGTGAAATGGCTTTCTACAATGGAGTGACTGCATCAGTGGACAAGGGAAGACCTATGGATGTCATCTATCTGCACTCTGCAAGGCCTTTGACATGCTCTCCCACATCCTTCTCTCTAAGTTGAAGAAATATGTGTTTGATGGGTGGACTATTCAGTGAATAAGGAATTGGCTGGATGATCACATCCAGAGGGTAGTGGTCAATGGCTCTATATCCAGATGGAAAATAATGACAAGTAGTGTCCCTCAGGGGTCTGTACTGAGACAAGTGTTGTTTAATATCTTCATTAAAGATATTGACAGTGGTATTGAGAGCACTCTCAGCAAGTTTGCTGATGACACCAATCTGGGTGGTGCAGTCGATACGCCAGAGGGATGAGATGCCATTCAGAGGGACCTGAACAAGCTGGAGAAGTGGGCCCAGGTGAACACCATGAGGCTCAGCAAAGCCAAGTGCAAGTTTCTGTACCTGAGTAGGGGCAATCCTCATTATCAACATGGGCTGGGGGATGATATGCTAGAGAGCAGCCCTGCAGGAAGGGACTTTGGGGTACTAGTAGATGAAAAGTTGGACATGAGCAAACAATGTGCACTTGCAGACCAGAGGGCTAATCCCATCCTGGACTGCATCAAAAACAGGTCAAGGGAGGTGATTCTGCCCCTCTACTCCACTCTCCTAAGACTCCACATGGAGTACTGTGTCCAGCTCTGGAACTGTCAATACAAGAGGGACATAGACCTGTTGGAATGAGATCAGAGAAGGGCCATATAAATGGTCTGAAGGCTGGAGCACCTCTCCTACGAAGACAGAATGAGAGAGCCTGGAGGAGAAGATAGGTTCTTTTTGATATAAGGAGACCTTACAGCAACCTTCCAGTACCTGAAAGGGCTACAGGAAAGCTGCGGAGGGGCTGTTTACAAGGATGTGTAGTGATAGAATGAAGGACAAGGCCCTGAAACAAGAGGAGGGCAGATTCAGACTGGGTATCAGGAAGAAATTATTTACCACGAGAGTAGTGAAGCACTGGAACAGGTTGCCCAGAGGGGTGGTGGAGGCCTGGAAACATTCATGGTCAGGCTTGATGGGGCTCTGAGCAATCCGTTCCAGTGAAAAAGGTCCCTACACACTGCAAGGGTGGCTGGAGTAGATGACATTTAAAGGTCCCTTCCAACCCCACACACTCTATGATTTCTATGAAACTCATCTCCAACAATTGTAATACACATATAATATCCATATCATTGACCTAACAATCCTGCAAAAATCATATATTGCAACTCTTTGCCAAACTTCCTTTCAAGCAGTGAAAATTCTGTGTGGTTGTAATATGGAAAGAAGTGAAGGACGACCAAAGGATCTCACATCCAACAAGATAAGAAATAAAAGAAAAAAAAAAAAAAAAAGTCTTCCTCTGGAGACAAATTTTAGATTATTTATCAATCTAGGTAAAGTCCTCCACACGTTTCCACTAGACTAATACCTCAGACTTTCTGAAATATTCAGGTATGATATTCAGGGAATAGAAAACTGGGTTGCTTGATTATACTTTTTTTAGATATGTGTTGCTACTAACAAAAAATTGCAACATATCTCTTTCTGATTTTTATTCAGAAGTATTTTTAACTCAAAAAGAGAGAAAAACAATTCCTTTATTCACAGACTTATATTACATATTTACTATTCTTTCATATGCTATTACAAAGATTAACAAATCAAATGAGAGGACATATAATTTTTGTAATTTGGTCTGGTGTGACTCACTGGGAATAAAATCATGGAATCATAGAATGTCTTGGGTCAGAAGGGACCCCTAAAGATCATCTGGTCCAACCCCCTTACAATAAGCAGGGACATCTCCACCTAGAACAGATTGCTCAGAGCCCCATCAAGCTGACCTTGAATGTCTCCAGGGATGGGGCCTCCACCACCTCTCCGGGCAACGTATTCCAGTGACCCAACACCCTCATATTAGAGAACTTTTTCCTAGTGTCCAACCTAAATCTACCCTTTTCTAGATTAAAACCATTAACTCTTGTCCTATCATTACATACCCTAGTGAACAGGTCATCTCCAACCTTCTTACAGGCTCCTTTCAGGTATGGGAAGGTTGGTATAAGGTCCCTCCAGTCTTCTCTTCTCCAAGCTGAACAATCCCAACTCCCTCAGCCTGTCTTCATAAAAGAATTTTGTTACAAAAAAATTTAAGGACTCAACAGAAAATACCCTTCCACTTCTTACAGCCAAAGGACACCATGTACATTGTTTTTCATTTGCAAATACTACATTCAGAAAGCTGTATTGGATTAAGATACATCAGATACATCTGATTTATGTGCAATAATTCCAAGAAGTGTCTTTGAACACAGTAAAATGTTGACATTAAAGCTAGGTAATATACGAGAACAAATTATTGAAAAGAGTTAAGATAATCTGTCATTACTATTCTCCATGTTTATTTTTCTAGTTAAGCTAGAAATACGTGCACAAAACATCTTAGGAAAAATAGTGTCCTAGGGATAACACAGTAAGCCACTGCTCACTGTCCATGCTCTTTGCTTGAGACAAATAACCTAAACAAAGAAGAAACCAAACTATCTCTAACTAGAAAAAGGAAGATAAGTTGCAACCATATGCTTTCTTTAGGAAATCTGGCCCTCAAACTGATAAGTTTCCTTATGCCTGTGTTATGCTTCCCCTATTTTGTCTGAATGAAAAAATATTTCTTAAATTAATAATGAGTAGCATCAATCACAGACTGAAAATAGGTTGCATTGCAAACAGCCTTCTACCTGCAGTATCCTTTGAAAGAGATCAGCTATTGGTACAGCATTCTATTCTATTCTGTCCTATAACAAAAATTAATTTAGCAAATCTAAGAAGAGTTTCATTTTGGAAATATTTTCAAATAGAACTAAAGAGCTCAGGAAATATTGTTGATTTCCTGAGAACACAGAGTGCCTTCACCATGAATCACTAACTCTCACTTGAGATCATTTTTATTTTCATAAAAGCAGAATTATAGAACAAAACGTTTTAGGAATAACTTAGCAACCAAGCAATTTGGTATAATTTACTAATAAGACTATGTGTAACTTGAGAGGAAAATAGAAAATCAACGAGGAGATGAGCAAACTACTTTAAATGATGTAGGTCTCTTGTTAAAGAAGGTGCTTGGAGCAAAATTTTCAACCATCTTCAGTATTTAATGTTATGTTCTAAAAGGTTAACATTTCCAAACAAAAGATTATTTTCAAATATATATATGGGAACACAATGTTGGGGGATATCCTTAAGTAGGCATTTTTCTACCCTTGGCAACCTGCAGTACAAGACATTCATTAAAGTCTGAAACTTGCATAAAGATCCGATTTGTTGGCTTGATAAATAGGTGATATTAACAATCTAAATTTTCAGTGTTAGTTTTTTAACAAGTTCATTCAGCAGCTTCACAGTCCTTTGGTTTTCTTCTCCATTCTGGTTAAGTCTGGATGCTGTACGGATAAGAAGGCTACGAACTTCCTTGCTTGTATCAGTTGCCTCAGCAATCTGAAAGGAAACAGAGAAGATAGGAAATGAATACATATAAACCCCCTAATGTTATTATTACATTCTTATACTAAGAAGAAATAGATAATTTATGAACTTGCACCTAAAATGCTAGAAATATCTTAGCCCTTCTTAAAAAAAAAAAAAGTTATGTTTGTTTAGTCAGCCAAAAGGAATAACCACTAAAATAGGTTTCCAGTTTGCTGTGTCATAAAATCAAGAGTCTTTTTACATGCCATATACCCTAGACAAATGGAAGGACACACTTCCACTGAAAGGAGAAACCTCTGAAGTGCTAAAACCACACTCTGGCCCCAGACTTGCCCATACAGGAGGCTTGTAATTCTTAAAACAGCATGGTTTCATAGTTAAGAGAGGCATAAATACCTAATCTCATATTGAGACAGCAGAATTATCTTGAAAGATGTGAACATATTTTACTGTTTGAGCCAATATACCTGAGGCTGTTATCAACAGCAGCAAGATACTGTGGCACAGGTCCAACATTTTACTCTCCTCTTAAGCTTTTTTCACACCCTAAGTGATACCCTCTCCAGTCTTTGTTCTTTTTTTACCTCTCAGTTACCACAACATCTTCCTATCTGGCTTTGCTGAAGCACCAAGCTTCTGCCTCATCCATGCCAATGTTTAGTGGCTACCTGTTTCACCTAATGGGAAACAGAGGGAAGACAGTTCCATCATCTCTGCAGAAGCTGGATAATTAAGGGAGTGATTTATAACTGGGAAAAGCGAATGTTTGCACATGCTATCTATGCCAGGTGACAACATATTGTAGATATGCTTTACTTGTAAGCTACTGCTCAAAATATTTCTGCCACTGTATAGTCAGGATAGCAACCTTTTCAATGAGACTTTGTCAAGAAGGAAAATATTTTTACTGTAGCTGAAATAGATATGTTGCTGGTTAAGTGTAGTTGTGGTACTCATTATCTTCTTTAATTGTCTGTTATGTGTTCACTTTATTAAGAGGTAGGAACGTAAGTCCAAAATAGTAAAAAAAAAATTTTTACTTAAACTGAAAAAACAGAAGAAACACTTACATGGTAAATCAATTCCTGGGCAACCGTATGTCCACAAGAAGAAAAGAGCAAAAAGTTGGTAAGAAGATGTGTGGTAAGATGCTGGTTACAACACTGCTCTGTATCAGTTACACATTGTACAGCAGCCTCCAGATCTTTGACAGAAAGGACTTCAGAGCTGAAGAGCATCATTAGATCTTTGTAGACTGCTTGAGCCTCTACCTGTAGAAAACAATTTCAAAAGATGCAGGATCAAAGAAGAGTAGAGGTCATACTTATGGCATTTTTCTTTTGGATTTATTCATTAACAGGAAACTGAATCCTTGGCAGAAACCACCCAAACATGTAAAGAGTTTGAATTTAAGAAGCAAGGAGAAGAGGGAAGGAAGGGCTGTACACATTTCTCTTTATAGAGATTCACACACACTGAAGTGGACAGAATGTATTTTTTTTGCCTTTCTTTGCTCTTGCAAATTAAGTAGGCAGGGAACCAAGCCAGGATTTGACCTTTTTAATAATAAAAGGAAATGGAGAAAGTTCCTCAGCAGAACATGGTCAGATTTTTGCATTGTGAGAAAAAGAACAGAGGCTCCTCAAGGGCTCATTTCAGTATTGCTGCTACAAATCAGTTAAATCCCCATGCAACCTGACCTCAGCTGATAAAATGTTCTGAAAAAAACAGAGGGGTTTGTCCTTCTTCCAGTGTTGTTTGCAACTTATGTTTTTACCTTTTAAGTTAGCCAATAAAAACTAATTTTTACTGGGAGTAGAGAACAGAAGACCCTAACAATAATTATGTTCACTATACTAAAAATAAACTTAACAAACAGATAGGAAAAACCCAAGTGAGTAAGTGCAGGAACAGTGGAAAAATATGCCACTGCAGACCCACAGGAAAAAGACATTTATCAGCCATGTTCATTAGTACAATCTGTTTCAGTCATTTATCTGACATCACGTTTCTCATCCATGCCTTGTTAAAAATTGCACATAAACTGAAAAAGATGCTATTCTTGAATTTTGTCCACCATCACATGGGAGGCAAGAAATTATACCAGAACCTAAAGAAAGGTAACTGGAATTCAACAAGATCCTTTTTCCCTCTGTGCATCATGTTCTTGGTCTGCCTCCATCCCATGGACCAGAGACTGAAGATTGATAGCAGCAGGCTCTGCTCCTTGAGTTCATGTCCCTAGGAGGCTCATTCTTAGTGCTAAATTTTCTGTGACCAACCTCCAAGTTTTGTGTTTTAAAGTCTAAAGGCATGACATGTCTCCAACAAATAAATACTGAGGAGAATAATATTCAGTCTTTTACATAGGAGTGAAGTCTAGTGAACAGCAAAACCAGCTTTTTTTCTTCTTTAAATAATTTTAACCTTATGTATTCCATTCTAGCTGATATATAAGCTGCTACCTGAAGTCAGTAGCAAGAAGGCAAAATCTTAAGTCATGAGTTCACACCTATCCACACAAAATAATGCTGAATGAAAAGTCCTAGAGCTTGGCATCTGCCAGAAGCTCCTGTCACACCTTAATTCTTAATTGGTGAAAGGTTGAGGAAGAAACCCTCCCATATGGCAGAGCTGAGAGCTAACCTGCCAAACAACAAATCAAAAGAAAAAGCAAAAATGTAACTAAAGGCAGAAGATCAGCATGAACTGTATGAATGCTCTTCGGTGGGAAAAAACAGTCTTAGATGAAGTAACTAAAGAAAAGAATCATAATGAATTGAAATATTAGATGCCTGGGAACAGATCAGTAACTACACAGACTGCCAGTGGAAAAGATTTTTTCTCACTAAAGTTTGATTAATATTATAGTAGAAAAAGAAATAGGCGACACACAGGCAGATGACCATGCGGCAGTGCAGAGCGGAGAGCAACAGCGGCACCGGCAGCAGGGACAGCTGTTCCTTTTAATTACTAGTTTAATTAATAGTTTTGAGACAGGGCCAGGCTTCCTGGAGACGGTGACGCCGAGGCAGAGTGGGAAGACCTGGGGGTTGTAATTGGAAAGCAGCTGAACAAGAGCCAGAAGTGTGCCCAGGTGGCCAAGAAAGCCAATGGCATCCTGGCCTGTATTAGAAATAGTGTGACCAGCAGAAGTAAAGAGGTGATTGTGCCCCTGTACTCAGCACTGGTGAGGCCACACCTGGAGTGTTGTGTCCAGTTTTGGGCACCTCAATTCAAGAGAGATATCAAGGTGCTGGAGCAAGTACAGAGGAGGGCAACGAAGCTGGTGAAGGGCCTAGAGAAAAAAATCTTATGAAGAACACTTGGAGGAGCTGGGAATGTTTAGTTTGAGGAAGAGGAGGCTGAGGGGAGACCTCATCAGTCTCTACAACTACCTGAAAGGTCATTGTAGAGAGGCTGGTGCTGGCTTCTTCTCACAGGTTAATTAGCAACAGAACAAGAGGGAATGGCTTCAAGCTGCAACAGGGGAAGTTTAGACTGGACATTACAAAAAAATTATTTTCACAGAAAGAGTGGTTAAACACTGGAATAGGCTGCCTAGGGAGGTGTTTGAGTCACCATCCCTGGACGTGTTTAAGTGTCGTTTGGATGTGGTGTTGGTGGATATGGTTTAGGGGAAAACTTTGTAGAGTAGGGATGATGGTTGGAGCAGGTGATCCCAAGGGTCTTTTCCAACCTGAATAGTTCTATGATTCTGTGATTTTATATATGGGACAATATGATTTCATTCTGTAGTGGTGCAGTTAAGAACAATAATCCATACATAGATCAGCACCTACAGTCTTTCAGTTTCATTCACTCATGTCTATTGCTTGGGTACTGCCTTCTTTCCACAAACAGCATTCTAACACAAATTCCTCCTTCCTTACTCCACTGTAGCTCTAAGCTAACTCTTCTCAGCCTACATCCCACCCCCCGCCTCCCCAGGACTATAAGAAATTAGAGAGAAAAAAAAAATTAAAAGGGATTGGGATGTGAGCTTGCATTTGTAGTGCTATTTGGGTAGCAGGAGGGGAAGGGAAGGAAATAAAATATTGCAGAACACACTGTTGTAGATGGTCTACTAAACAAAAAATGAAAGTATGAAGTTTTACTACCATGGTATATACTGAGCTGCATTTTTGAAAGCAAACAGAATCCATTTACAAATTAAGGAAAAATACAGGTGTTAAAGCCAGATTTTTAATCTGGGCTTTGTAGGTTTTTGATGGCCTAGTTCAAACTTGCTCAATAGGTCTTAATTAGAGGCTTTCATGTATTGTAGACATACACAGACACACTGCACTATTCATGAAGTTCAGTGCATGAAATTAGAACATTGCCCCCTTCTGTTAGAAACCTAGCATGTGGGAATATAACATACTTTGTACAATCTCGTATGTGCCAAAAATCAGTAAAGATACATAAGAGAAATCAGAATAGATAGGCAAGGTTCAGATTCAGGGCTGTGTCTGGTAAGTGTCTTAAATGCTTGGACTGATGTTGCAATTTCTCTTTTGTTTCCTTCTCTGAAGATCCCATAACAGAGGAATGCTGAGTTCTGCCACACAGTGATTTAAAAAATACTAGAGTAGTTTTCTGATTAAAAATACTCAAGTTATCCAAAAGAAATACATGAAGGTTCTAATCTATATAATATACTTTAAAAACAGGGAAAATGTTTTCTAAATGTCACTAAGAAAATCCACAAAACTTAGTTTTTAACTTCTCCACTGCAAGACACTTCCCAGGAGACCCAGCAAAGCCAATTCTTTCTCCAGTGTAGACCTTCCATTTTTCTGGTATGCACTTTTTGTTTTATAGCAATATGGTATAAGCAGACTATTGACCAATTATTGTTGCTTACTATCAGCACATTACCCACCATTGTTTGAGTCCTTTGTTGATTTCCATTCTGAGGACTATAGTAAAATGCCAGCAGCCACAGCAAAGCATTTGGTTCTACAGCAGCCTTCAGCAATTGTTCTGCTGCAATATCCAGCCATTCTCCAAAACGACCAACCAAAAACCAGATTTCAAAAAGGCCACCAAGAGAACTGGAAAATAACAGATACAATGAAATATTTATTTTGATTTAGCATTTTTAAATGTCTTAACTGCAAAGGATGCTGGCATGAAAATGTAAGTCATTAAACTACTCCTCAACAGATAGTGCCTTACTTGCTAAGCTTACAGCCATGTCTTACTCTATTATCTGAAGTCACAATCAGGTGAGACACACCCAGTGCTACTGACAAGATTCCTTTTGTCAGTTCAACAGATGATCTATAACACTAGTTCTCAAACTGTGACAAAAAACACATGTATTGAAATATTCGTCATAAAATGAACCTTATCATTTATACTTGTCCATTTCAGGATTTTCAAAACTTTAAATTAGATTTCTTAAGTGTTGTATTCTAACATATTGTTGTCTTACATTGTCTTCAAGCTTCTCTGAGTTGCTTTCCAGGGTTATTTTCTGGTTTTTGGTAATTCACTACATACATGTGTTTTGGTAAATAATGAGGAATTAAACTTACATGGACAAAAATGTAAATTTTTAATTAATATTAATCTCCTGACTCCTACAGCATATGTCCTCTTTACTGAAAATTTGAAGATATTTACAACTGTGTTACTGCAGTAAGAAAAAGAAAGGTGAGAAAGGACCACAGCTCATCTCTACATTTTCTCATATACTCTTCTAATGTTAGATATGACTAAATAAAAGACAAATAATGGGGAGACGCAAACTAACGGCAAGCATCTCTGAAGCAAAAAGCAAACTGAGTGCGGAAGGCAGGAAAAACAGAAGCACAGCTGGAAGGAAATTAAGGAACAATTATTCTTACTAAGTCTGGCAAAGGTTTGAAGAATTAGATGTTTTCTTATGTTTTATTCCTGGGGAGTCCAAGAGCTGTGGTACCACCCATTGCCAGGAAACTCCAATAAATCTTATAAATTCCAGAAGCTGATGGAATTGTCTGATACCAAATGTGACACAGTCATAGTTGGAATAAAATGCTTTAAGACTTCCTGAGGAAGTGGGAGGCACAGATTTATGGATGAAGGTGTGATGTCTGCAGATAGTATTCTATGTCTGAAGTATACTGGTGCCTGATGTTATCTACAGGTGGTCCTGTAAATTATATTGTCTATATGCCACAGAATCTCAGGGTCTCAAAATTCTATTCCTATTTGTGTTGGACACAAATCCACTGCACCAGTATTTCTGGATAAGCGTGATCACTGACATGTGTAAGAGGTTGACAAAGAATCCTAGAGAGAAAACAGAGTACTGATGTGACTGCTTTAAAAGTCACCATCGTTGATATTCCACAGCTTTTAGAGTGACAGCAGCTTGACTCAGGCTGCAAGGAACTAGATAGAGATGTGCGAAAAAACCTGAAACTAGAATTCCTTAGCTAAAGGAACAGGATCAGCATTGATAAAGTCTGAAGATACTGGTATCTGGAAATGCAATGTTAAAAACCTTTAAAATACAAGCATATGTGATAGTGATCTAGGACAATAGCCCACCCCTCAGCAAAATCATCTACTTATCTGATCGTAATTCAATGCTGTGCCAATGCAAGTGGATAGGCTAGCTCTGAAACCCAGTGATGTATAATCAAAGATGAAATAAAATTAAAAGTTAATTAATGAGAATAGATAATTAAGGGTAATATTGATAATATTTATGACTGGAGCTGTTCAAAGCTCAAAGGGTAAATACAAGTCCTTAAACTTTCAGCATTAAACTAATGGTACTTAGCAGAACAGAATTTAATTCTTGCCTGGAAAGCTTAGGCAACACTGCACTTAAAACTTACGTAACTTTCCTGAACCATCACAGTGCCTGTTCTGGAATCATGTACCTTCCACTTCTGTCTCCACTGCTGTTTCTGCCCACTTTTTAGTGGCACCTCTGTCAACTGCTTCACTGTCATTTCCAAACCTGGCCTTTATTTTTCTGGGACTCCCTGCCCCCAAATGTTCATCAGTTTATTTCTGCTTTAAAATGTCACATAACATTTACTGTTCACTGAAGTGACTACATATAATAATAAGAAATGGCACAGAGGGAATCTGTTGGAAGGAAGTACACAGCCCCTTGCTGTAAGACTTAGATTTGTTGCGAAATAAAAGCATTCAAGCTACATAAACAGAAAGCACTGACTATAAGAAAAGGACATGCTGTATAGTAGCATTTTTTACTCCTCTGCTAATCTTATTAAGTAGAAAGGATGCAGAATCAGGAATAAAGCTATAAAATAAAATAGAATACAGTTTCCTCATGGATATTAGCATTTAAAAATTTTAGCCAGTTCCAATGACTTTGTATCTGAGAGGTGTTTGGTAGAAAAATAGTTATTGCATGAGCTCTAAAGGAAGTAAGAGGATGTACTTTCTGGGAAGTACAATACTATTCAAACTAGCATACTTTCAAAGCAAAGGGTAAAAAAGACAATATAAGCTAAGAAAGTAAGAAAGGGCTTAGGAAACAAAAGGAGAACAGAGGTGCTTCTATTATAGTAATACTTACTGATGGATTTAATTTGTTTCATTTGTTTGCTCTGAGTTTGAGTTATGTGTTTCTTTAATAAGCTAGGATCAACTTCTGGCCATACTCCAAGGGCTGAAAGGTTTGACAGACTTCAGGGATGAACAGATGAGACATGGCACAGAACTGCAGCTCATACAGAAAGTGAGAAGCAGACAGTCCAGAATCAGAGAGAACAGCAAAAAGCTCTTTTCCTGCCACTCAACAACAAAAATTAAAGCTTTCATGAGTTAACTGAAACCAAGCATGGATCTGCCTTCTAGAACACAGGCAGAGAGTTGGGTATCTTGTTTTCCATGTCTATCTGGCCTAGGCATTCTGTATTTCTATTGAAGTATTTCAGATTTTAATTAAAAATGAAATTGGTTTATTTGAATTACAAAGCTGTTCAAACTCTCTTGGAAAGCTCACTCTCCAAGCAGAGCCATCAATGTCCTAGTGCAGCCCAGAAGGCCAACTGCATCCTGCGCTGCATCAAATCAAGTGTGGCCAGCAGATGGAGAGAGGTGATTCTGTCCCTCTACTCTGCCCTGGTGAGACCTTGTCTGGTGTCCCCAGCCCCTGGAGCCTGCAACACAAGAAGGACATGGACCTGTTGGAGCATGTCCACAGGAGGGCAACAAAAATGATCTGAGGGCTGGAGTACCTCTCTTATGAAGACAGGCTTGAGGTTTTTCAGCCTGAAGAAGAGAAGAATTTTGGGGAATGTTATAGTGACCTTCCAATACCTAAAAGGGGCCTATAAGAAGGCTGGGGAATATCTGTTCACAAGGGCATATAATGATAGGACAAGGGGTAATGGTTTTAAAGCTAGAGAAGGATAGATTTAGGTTGGACACTAGAAAAAAGTTCTTTAATATGAGGGTGTTGGATCACTGGAACAGGTTGCCTAGAAAGGTGGTGGAGACCCCATCCCTGGAAACATTCATGATCGGGCTTGATGGGGCTCTGAGCAATCTGTTCTAGGTGGAAACATCCGTTTTTACTTGAGGGGGGTTGGACTAGATGACCTTTAGAGGTCCCTTCTAACCCCAAACATTCTATGCTTCTATGATCTAAGCAGATTCCTATCCAAGCTTTAGCCAAGCCAAGTCTCATTGCACACCTGGTAGGAAAGAATTACAGAGGAGCAGCAGATAAAGATGTACCTTTTTTCCTTCTTCTCATACAGTCCCAGAGGATGTGCTACCAAAGCAGAATTCATGTAGACAAACACTAGCACTATAGCAACTATCCGGAAAACAAAAGCTAAGGACAACAGGTCAGAAACCTTGGGTGTCAACTCAATGAGTAATAATGATACTGCAGTCTAGCAGTCGTATCTTTGTGAAAAAAAATATAGAAGTTTGGATGTTTGCACAAGCCTGCAGAAAGCCAGCACAATCCCCTTCATAAAACAGTACTGGTCACAACAGACTCTTTCCAATACCAGTCGCTTTTCTGGTTGGAAAAGCTCTCTTACTATTCAATCTATAATCCGTTTTTAAGGTTTTGTGTGAGAAAACTGAGAGTAGACAAGTAAGCATTTTCTATTATACAGTTAGCTATTTGCTGAAAATAAAAGAACGACAAGAGTTTGTTTTCTCAGATGCTTACTGGTCAGGTCTCTGAGTGCTACTAAGTTCATATTCTGTATCATCCTTCTAATGAGAAAATTATAAACTGTAGGCACTAAAGACCTCAAGTGGCAGGAATTTTCACAAAGTAACATAGGCAAAGGACAAGTTAGCAAATATACTACTGACCTGATACTTGTATCTTCTACTAATGCTTTGAGCATGTCCGAAATGTGTTTCAAGTGTTGAGACCAGTGTGCAGCTGGCAGTTCTGCGGAGAGAGGATGAAAATAGAACTCTTAGAAGTCTAGTCAGTCCAACCAGAAAAGAACAGTGAAATTAGCAATATAAAGCTAGCATTAAAGATTTTGCAATTTGATTCAATTATCACAATGAATTTAAAAGTTGTTTTTCAATTTTCCCAGCTTTCAACAATACCTATTAACTGTGTTTCTTTGAAGAATTCATGGACAAAGCCATGTAAGGATGTATAGCTATGAATATTCAAATGAAGCTCATGTATCCTTGTGCAAATGGTACCTCAATATTATATATTAATTAGTGGGATAATATTCTCAGAGGCTCTTGTATTGAGCTGAAATTATTGCTAATGAAAAACTACATATTGAGCAGTAGTTTCTTGATCTATAAAAATGGGAAAGCTTAAAAACAGTATTAGGTTTGCAATCTAAAAGATCATCAGAATTCAACCTTCAGAGACAAACAGCAAGGCTGTTTCTTGTAATATACATGTGAAAATGTTCATAATGGAAATTACTAATATTGTAATATAATATATAATATTTTTTCAATCTCAGTAACCTGTCTTAATTCCTCCAAAACTATGCACGCTTTCTTTGTTATGCACTTCTGGTTTTATTTAAAGTTCCATGTATATTATTGTTACATAAGAATTATATGTCACTGCAAGAAATACATTAGAAGAATATTATGAACATTGTTAAGACAGCACATACTGCTTAGGAAATAGCAGCATTTTGTCTTCACCCTTTAAAAAAATATTTTAAGATAAATACAGGCCGTGCAGGTTGGCTAATGCTGCAAATATTTAATGTAGAAACTTACCAAAAGGACGTCTGAGTAAAGCTGTTAGAAGAGGCTGGTGATGGCAGGGGAAGTAGGCCTTCAGTGAAAATTTAAGCTAAGATACAAAATCATTATTTTAAAAGTTTTCTGGTCAGTTTTCAAAACAAACCCACACTGAACCATCTCATCTGAGGTAAAGTTAACAATACAGAGTGAAGCAAAAGAAAACAAAAATAACTCTACACTTATTATTAGGATTTTGCATAAGGAAAGAAGGGGATATTTAGAAAAAGCTTGCTTAGAAAAAGTAATTAATTATGGAGTTTAAAATACATGCATTAAAAAAGATTCAGAGTCTGAAGAAAGTTGTATCTTTTGCTCTTTTGTCCTTTTGTTTATCCATGATTTGTATGTGATTTTTGTGTATTGTGAACACTGCTTGCTCATTGTGTAATCCAGACTAGCAGGAGCATTCCCTTTTATTTTTTTATTTTGCAAACATCTACTACAGGCACCTCTAATGGGTAGAATGCCTGTGCAAATGCAATAGGAATTCCCTTTGAGTGGGACTGAAAAGTGGCTGAATGGCAAGGAAGTCAAGCTGGAGGCCATTAAATAGTGGTGTACCCAGTGGTGCTAATACTGGGTCCAGTCCTGTTCAACATCTTCACTAATGATCTTGAATGAAGGGCCAGAGAGTTCCTTCAGCAAGTTTGCTAATGACACCTAACTGGGAGGAGGGGCTGGTATGCTGGAGGGCAGTGCTGCCATCAGAGAGGTCTTCACAGGCTGGAGAAAACCAGCAAGAAGAAAATATTAATTCCTCAGCCTGGGAAAAAAAACAACACCAGGCAACAGTACATGCTGGGAGTCAACCAGCTGGAAAGCAGTTTTGCATAAAATGACCCAGGGATCCTGGTGGACAGCCAAGTTGAATGTCAGCCAGAGAAGTGCCCTCACTACAAAGGCAGTGAATGCTATGCTGAGCTACATTAGGCAAAGATAATTAGACATGTAAAAGCTCGGCTAGAACTTAAACTAGCCACCTCTGCAAAGGATAATAAAATGCTTTTATAAATACGTTAAGAACAAAAGGAGGGTCGGGGAAAATCTTCACTCCTTATTGGATGAGGGGGGGAACTTAGTAATGGAGGACAAGGAAAAGGCTGAGGAACTTAACACCTTCTTTGCCTCAGTCTTTAACAAAAAGAAAACCTACCCTCAGGACAACCGGGGTCCTGAGTTGGTAGAGAGGGACAGGGAGCAGAATCCCCCTCCTCTAATCCAGGAGGAAGTAGTTAGGGACCTGCTGTGCCATTCAGATGCCAACAAGTCCATGGGTCGGGATGGGATCCATCCTAGGGTGCTGAGGGAGGTGGCAGAAGAACTGGCCAAGCCACTCTCCATCATTTATCACTGGTCCTGGCTAACCAGGGAGGTCCCAGATGACCAGAGGTTGGCCACTGTTAAGCAGAACTGGCCAAGCCACTCTCCATCATTTATCACTGGTCCTGGCTAACCAGGGAGGTCCCAGATGACCGGAGGTTGGCCAATGTTACTCCATCCACAACAAGGGCTGGGAGGAGGATCTGGGGAACTGTAGGCCTGTCAGCCTGACCCCGGTGCCTGGCAAGATCATGGAACAGATCATCCTGAGTGCCATCAAGCAGCATGTAGAAGACAACCAGGGGATCAGGTCCAGCCAACATGGGTTTAAGAAAGGAAGGTCCTGCCTGACCGATCTCATCTCCTTCTATGACTGGGTGGCCCACCCACAGGATATGGGGAAGGCTGTGGATATGGTCTGTCTCAACTTCAGCAAGGCCTTAGACACAGTCTCCTATAGCATCATCCTGGAGAAGCCAGCAATCCATGGCTTGGACAGGTGCACCCTTAGCTGGGCCAAAAACTGGTTGGATGACCAGGCCCAGAGAGTGATGGTGAAAGGAGCTGCATCCAGTTGGTATCCAGTGAGCAGTGGTGTCCCCCAGGGATCAGTGCTGGTCCCAGTCCTATCCAACATTTTTACTGATGGGGATTGAGTCCACCCTCAGTAAGTTGGCAGATGACGTCAAGCTGGGGGCAGTGTCGATCTGCCAGAGGGTAGGAAGAAGCTGCAGGAGGACCTGGACAGGCTGGGTTGATGAGCCAAGACCATGAAATTCACCAAGACCAAGTGCAGGGCCAGCAGTGTGCCCAGGTGGCCTGGAAGGCCAATGGCATCCTGGCTTGTGTCAGGAATAGTCTGGCCAGCAGGAGTAGGGATGTAATTCTCCCCCTGTACTCAGCACTGGTGAGGTCTTACCTCTAGTACTGTGCCCAGTTCTGGGCCCTGCACTTCAAGAAGGATATTGAGGTGCTGGAGCAGGTCCAGAGGAGAGCAACAAGGCTGGTGAAGGGACTAGAGGGAAAGTCTTATAGGGACAGGCTGAGGGAGCTGGAGTTGTTTAGCCTGGAGAAGAGGAGACTCAGGGGGGACCTTCTCACTCTCTTCAACTACCTGAAGGGAGGCTGTAGTCAGATGGGGGCTGGGCTCTTTTCCCAGGCAACTGGCAACAAGACAAGAGGGCACAGCCTGAAGCTGCACCAGGAGAGGTTTAGATTGGATATTAGGAAATAATTCCTCACAAAGAGGGTGATTAGACATTGGAATGGTCTTCCCAGGGAAATGGTGGGGGCACCGTCCCTGTATGTGTTCAAGGAAAGGCTGAATGAGGCTCTTAGTGCCAAGGTCTGGCCAATGTGGTGCTGTTGGTCATAGGATGGACTTGATTACCTTAAAGGTCTTTTTCAGACCTTGGAGATTCTATGATGTGGTGATTCTGCAATTGCCCACATGTTTAGGGAGGTGATCTTTCCCCTCTTCTCAGTACTCGTGAGCTGTCACTCCAGCAGCCAGACCTGGATTACTATGTCTGATTTTAGGCTCCTTAGTACGAGAGACATGGACAAACAAGAGAATTCAACAAGGGCCACAAGGATGATTATGTGACTGGAATGTCTCTCCTATGAATAGAGGCTGTGAGAACCTGGAGAAGAGAAGGCCCAAGAAGGATCTTATCAATGTATATAAATACCTGAAGGGAGGGTGTAAAGAAGATGGAGCCAGGCTCTCTTCAGAGGTTGCCAGGTGTTTGTTTGTTGTTGTTGGTTTTTTTAATGCTTTCAGGGTCACCAAGCACTGGCTAAGCTTGCCCAGAGGGGTTGTAGTCTCAGTCCTTGGAGATACTCAAAAGCCACCTGGACATGATCCTGGACAACTGGCTAGGGAGCTGTACAAGATGACCTCCAGAGGTCCCTTCCATTTATTTTAATTTCCTGTCATCTCAGTCTTCAAGTCTCCATAACAGTGATCTTAGAATTCTTCTGTCTCCTTTCTTTAGGAATAAGAGACTATATAATAAATAGATAATCTCTTGAATCACAGACTGGGAACACAGACTCTAGAAAACGTGATACATCTCTAAATTCAATGAAGACCACATTTAGTAATTTATTTTAGGATATACATGTATCTTGTAAACAAATGTAATTACTTATTCTCTCTCTCTCTACTAATTTTTTTTTTATTCTGTAAACAACAGTTAATTTAAATTAAAGCACACTAACATATACAGTATTCTCAGAAAGTCTATATATCACTGGTATAGTAAGACTCTGAAAGTCTACTTGTCAGGTAGAATTAGGTTAATTAAAAATTAATAATCCCTATAGTAATGCATTTATGTAGCCAATTACCTTGCACCAAAATCCCAATGAAAAAGTAGCCCTTGACACAGTTAGTAGTATCCGAGATGACCCACAGCATGAAAACAGAATTGCAAAGCAAGTAAAAACCTGTTTTGCGTACACTGTTAATGCAAAGCAAAAAAATTTGCTTCCTTTCATACACAGTATTTTAGGCAGTTACTCCTTGCATAAATCATCACAAAGTAAAAAAGAAGGTAAAAGAGGCAGAATTAATTTGGATGTTGCTGGTTATTATAATTTCCATGATATATAACAGGAAATATAAATTGAACACTGGTTTAAACTATTTATACAGTAATCTAAAACAAAATTCCTTGCAAAAAATCACTGACAATTCTGAAATTATCAATGGAAAATAATGCCAGAGGAAATAATAATTTTTATCAAATAGAACTATGAACTTTAAGCTCATACACATTTACATGTAGCATGACCCAAATATCCTTAGATCAGCTTTCACTACCATCATAGACTTGAAGGAATCAAGTAGAAAGCTTGTAGAAAACATGGAAAGGTTTATTCCAGCAGTACATCCTTTCTTAAATTTCTTATTTGATCACTACACAAATGGTCTTTTTTTCTAAGTAGGTTTAACCCAATGTTCCATTTATACCTTTTCCAGTTTCCCAAAACATAGAGAAAAGAAAATTATTCCTAAACCTGGTAGCAGTGTTTTTTCACACTCTGCAGCTTTTTTATGCTAAACTTTGTTCTCTCTAAATGGTCTGCAAAGTTATTAGAAAAGGCAGCCATTTCCTACAATTGCCACATTGCAATAGAGAATCATTCTCCTCCTACTTTGCAGTGGGTCTCCATTTGGCCACTGAGGTGTTGACCACAACTGTTTGACTGTGACCATGTAGCCAATTCCTTATTCACCATGTGGCCTATCCATCCAGACCATATCTTTCCAATTTAGAGATCGGGATGTCATGTGGGACAGTGTCAAATGTTTTGCACAAATCCAGGTAGATGATGTCAGTTGCTCTCCCCTTGTCCACTGCTGCTGTGACCCCATTGTAGGCCACCAAATTTGTGAGGCATGATTTGCCATGAAACCATGTTGGTTGCCACCAACCATCTCTTTATTATCCATGGACCCTAGCAAAGCCTGCAGGAGGATCTGCTCCATGATCTTTCCAGGCAGAGGTGAGACTGTCTGGCCTGTATCTAAGCAAGGCAGCTGCAGTTTCATCCTTAATTCATACTGCCTGAAGCTAGAAGACAGTTTTGATCACACTGCTAATTAAAAGCCAGTATGTCACAAGTTCAGAGAAGTCCTGAAATTACTGTATCCCCAAAAAGATGCAAAAATCAAAGCAACTGGACATTTTCTTAAGTATAAAATGAGAGCTACTCTATGACAGGATACCTCCCAAGCTTACATTGCACAAACTGGAGCTAACCAAATAAAATGATAAGGATGTGAAATTACAATGCTTTTTCATATATAATCATTTTGAAATTTAAAAATGAGAAAATGTGTTCTTGTTTAAATGAATAGATACAAAAGTAATTCTATTTAATTCAGTTCAGTGAGACCCATACAAAAATCTGTGCAGAAGAAGAGACACTATGCTGGGAAATTGGAAGCTTTAGAGTGAGGTCAATGTTGAAGACCAGAAACTTGGACCAGTATCTATTCTGTGTCTTCTGCATTTTGAACAGGGAAATCTGACTATTCAGTGTCCTACTTACAACTATTTGGAGGGAATTTATTATCAGAAACCCTGCTACTGCAAAAGAAAAAGGCATCTACATTTTTTCATTCTTTCTATCAAAGATGGATGATCATGACCATGTTCACTATACAGGCAGACACTTCAGCACCAGGGGAATTGCTCCTGTGAAAATCACAGTTTAAGTTGCAGGATTACTCCAGGGTAAGGCTGGGTAAATTGCTCTTACATACTGGTTTCATACTACAATGTTACTCACAGGTGAAACTATTCCAACTGAAATTTGGCATGCATATACAACTGTAGAAAGATGCTATTATTCAGCTCAGCATAATCAGTCAGCATTTTAATCAGTAGCATTGTTGTTTTCTTGTGAAATTTTTATCTTCTCACTGAAAATAAACACTATGAAATAGATCTTGACTAACCTGCTTGTTTTCATTCTGATGAGCCTGAAGAAAGAGCTGCGTAAACACCTGTATTATGGTCATAACTTCTGGAGTTCCATCAGTTTCCAGCAGTGCATGCCTAAGCATTGAAAAGTTAGATTATGGTAGATGAGATAAATAGTCTGCCTGTCACACCAGTGATAATTGAAATTATTTGTATGCTGTAGATTCAAGTTGTATTTGAGCTCATTTTGCTCATTATGCTTAGAAATTTTATTTTCACTTTTCAAAAAACATACTCAGCTCCAAGAAAAACTAGATTTAGTAAGTATATACAATATACATTCACACACATGATTTACCCAATCAATAGGAGAAAAAAGTGTAAAATTGAAAAAGAGACTACCACAACTTCATTTGGAAAATTGGGCAGCTGAACAGTCTTACTGGATTCAGAGCAACTATTCCCTTGCCTACATTTAAGCATACTTTAGAGTTTGTGGGACTGCATTCCACAGGCCACCTCAAATTAGAGGTACTACAACCTAGTACAATCTCCTGGGATATGGTACCTGAGAAAAAAATTAAAAATAAAAAATTGACTTAAGCTATTGAATGTCACACTCCTACTGGAGCCAGTGAAAGAAACAAAAAAAAAGTTGTTGATCAAATTTAAAAGTTACATATTAAAAAAACTACACAATGAGACTGAAGTGAAATAATACAGCTGCTGTTGAGTCATTGTGATGCCTTAGTGATCTTGAAGCAATGAATCAGAAGCACAAACAGAAATTACTGTATACCAAAGGACTACTTTAGATCAGTAACTGCTACAGATTGAATTAGGGACCAATGCACTCCAGTGTGTTTCCAGTGGTGAAATAATAAATTCCACTCGGGAGGAATGGGTATGCTTTAACTGGCCTTCCACAGGACACAACATAATCTTGAGCAAACAGAGCAGAAAAACATATGGGCAGCAACAAGTAATTTTCATTCTCTCATTTGAAAAACGTGTGACCATAAGGAGACAACATGTTCAAAGTAAGCTGCCACTGAGATACTATTTTTTAGTATTTCATTCTTCCTGTAATGATTTTAAAGATAAGAACACATTACTGTAACAAATTTCACAAACCTACAGGCAAATATAATCACTAACACAAACACAAGAAGTAGCACATAGAAATTCAAGACAGTGTAGGCATGTGGACTTCCATTTAGCCACGCACAGGAGCAAAATAAACTTGTACTTGGGAAATAAAAGCACAAGTTAACATCCCTGAGATAAAATAATTTAGCAAAATCAACCTCAATAAAAATAATGTAATAGCAGGAGAAGTTATTCCTGAAAGAGACACAATCATTAGATCTGTGCTTCTAACAGAATATTAACCCCCAAAACAAAAGTTTTCTGCCAGGTGTAGAAACATAACACAGTTCCCAAGCAATAAACTACAAGCTATTTTTCAGCAGCTCTCTAAAATCTCACATGACTGTATCTGACATGGTACCTTAACCTCTGCACAAAACTCAATCATAGTTGGAGAGATCAGAGAAATTCAACAAAAATGAACACAAAGCTGTAGAAACCAAGTAGTCTGCAAAAGCCAGCTAACACAAGCAACTTCATTCAATACCAACAGGACCTGAAATATAGTATTTTTAAGAGGTATTAAGGGTTTAATAACAACAACGTAGAGGAACAAGCATACTAAGTAGAAACAATGGAAAGCAAAAAAGGGAGCAGAAGTATAGGCTGAGCAACAGGAAAACATGATGAATTTCTAACGTTGATTTGTAACATTAATGCACGAGTGAAGTTTTATTAGGCAATACTCTCCAGGCCAATTCCTGCATTTATCTGAGAAACACTATATCTTCCAATCTACTGTCTACCAAATGTAAAGAGTGCAAAAGTATTACGTAGTGTCCGTCTTATTTTTAGAAAATATTTTACATATCATGACTCTAAGTAAGCCAAGAAGCTTGAGCAAATTTTGTCTCCCTGTATTCTGACAATATACAGCCTCCAGTCTATGACATCAGCACAGGTCTGTAGAAGTCACATCAATTTTCAAGTGCATTTTGCTTTGGGAAAGTGACTTGTCTTGACTATTCAGAAAATACTAGCTGTGCTCAGACACTGGACCACAGCCACAGAAAGGACTGCCACAGCAGTAGCTGCCAACTGGTTCCCCACTTTCAGTACAGCCTATAGCTCCTGCAGCAATGACTCTTCTGTTAGTGCCTGCACAAACCTAAACACACACACAGACACACAAATGCTCCCAAACACATGCACCTGGTAGAGCTCTTTTTTCTTAAAAAGGAAAACACTTGATGAACCAATATTGTGAATCATTAAATACAATATTTTTGTACAGAGCTGTAATACTGACAACGCCAGTAGTCGACCTACTTAAAAAGAACAATGCAATAATATGTCAAGTGAAGTGAAGAAAAAATACCCTGAAAACTAAGTACAAAGAACTGGAAGCCCTCATGTGGTAAATGGTATATATTTCTTCATAATAATCCTAATGCATTCATAAACAACTTCATTACTAACAAGCCTATCAACAGTTTAATGCAATTAAGACCTTATCTGATATCAATTCTGAAGACTATTAGCATAATGTAAAAGAGGCTACACTGGTAAGTGCAAATGTTTTAACTAAATTCCATCTTCACACTGGCATGGGCCAAGCCTTTTTTCAGCATTTATAACTTTCACCTTAAAATCAGATTTCAACCATAAATCTCTACTGGAGTACAAAATAAATTATAAGTTTTCATGGCTTAGATACTGTGTAGTCAACTGTATCAATGATAACAACAATATAACTTTTATGCAACATTCACAAGATTTTAAATGTTTTTCATTACTTACAGTACATTACACAGAAGGGGACACTAAGGCATACAGCTAAAGGAAAGGACATCCTGACATTATTATTTATCATTATGCTCCTTCTAATTAAGAAAACCTCAAAACTGATAATTTGAAGTACTTTCCACTATATTTCAAAACTTACTTGAAAATTTCATCCATAATTCTGAAAATGGCAGGATGGCTTGCTGCTTGGTGCTGTTGATAAACAAATGAAAGAAAATTTACCATTTATAAGAAAAAACACAACTGCCACAGTGTAATTCACATCTTAACTCACAGATGCTATTACACTGCAGTTATTAAACTTTAAATCTCAGATCAACTCTTGTGAAAGCATCAAATTTACTCAAGTTAGCTCCTGATGATGAAAATACAGTTCTTGAACAATCCACAGTAATGCATGTTTAATGAAATACATTCTATAAAGTTCAAGATGGAAGGAATAGCATTTATAAAAGGCATTTATTGTAGCAGCTATAAGTGCCTGATGCACTATTCCAAAGAAAACTTTTATGTATTTGTTTCAACCAAAAAAGTATCAAGAGGAATATAATTTTTTTCTTTTTAATTGTACACAGGCAGAATTAAGACTTTATGGTCCCTCTATGATAATCTCATAAACCAGAGACAACCTTTAATACAAACAGTCTGAAAAAGCTCTTTGTTTCTCAAAGTTGCCATACTGGCAATATTAGGTGGCATCTCATTTTCACGGTTTTCCAAACTTTCTCTGTCACACGGCTCTAGCTAAGCTGTGCTTAGAACGTGTGCCATCTAGTGTTGAGAGTGCTGACAGCCGGTGGTTTGGACGTGTGAAGAAGAGCATGCAGCACCTTCCAACCCCAAGCGTTCTGCACTGCTGTGAAAACAGTGGAAAGTGAGAACAATGTCCTGTGGGCTGTATGGTTGAATTCAGTAATTTCTCCGCTGCCTCTTCAGATACTCTACCTATCTCTGCACACATACTTCTATGACAACTGAGCAATCCACTGCTAAAACAGGTATAAACTACAAAGGGTCCATCAGCACACTGCCACATGTATCAAGATCAAATTGCATGTATTTTGAACAAGGCCAAAATAAATGTGCTGTATGCAACAATGAAAAACACTCCACCCTTTCCTGCCAGACAGCAGCAATCTACAGTACTCACTACAAGAAACCACAGTTAATAGCCCATAGTAATCTACACTGCTGAAATCAATATGAATTTCATGATTGGTATTCAAAGGGGAAATAACAAAAAAACCCAAACATCACCATTGTGAGCAGGAACTGAACAGGCAGCTCAGGGCTGCTGTTGCCAGCAGCCATTATGGAGTTTGGGAGGGATTATCAGTTTCAGCAGGAATTCCCATAGGGTTTTCATACCATTGACATTATTGTCCTTTTTTAAATAAAAAGGCATTTTACATTTTATTAATCTCTACTGTGATGATGCAATATTTTTCACAGAAAGCTCAGAAATCCAAACTTGCTATCTACCAGGAGCTTGTTCCATCACCTTTAAAACATGCACAACACTTATGGCACAGCACACACTAAACCAAAAAGATCCAAACACTGGGAATAGGAGCTGCATGTGTGATACCACAATTAAACATTTCAAGAATGTATGCATCTAGAGAAAAACCTCATATAAAAACACTGGGATTTTTTAAAGAAATACAATAGGAAAAATACACTGTAACATAAAGAAGTTGCATAGAACTACATTACTTTTGTTACTGTATTATCTGAAAGAAGAATTCCAAACAACTAATTTATAATAAACAGCCAGAACTGAATAAAGAAATAAGAAAACCACATTTTTTTAATCCACAGATACAATTAAAAAAAATATTTTTATCTGTATCTACAGATACAGATTTCTAATTCAAGAAATTAGGAACAGACCGTGTATATAGACTTGCCTTCTGAAATACCTAGACCCTCAGATGATATAGAAATGCTGGTAATGACAAGCACTTAGGAGATCTGCAAGTGTTATAAAGAATCCCTAAAGTAGAAATCTGCAGATTCAATTAAGAAGGAAGAATACTTAAAGGTATAATTCTTTTCCTATTTAAAATACATACGCTGTAAGCAGCTTCACAGCCTGAAAATAAGATACCACGTGCCATTTTTTTCATTCTACCCATTTTATGAAATACAGAATTTAAGGATGTATCACACATGCTATTTCACATTGTAATTAACCAATTTACATCTAGTGTTACAAACTAGCTCATTATTTTAGAAAACGAATTGTATCATATTTTCTCATAGGAAGGATTTTTGGCGCACTGGATAATACAGCATTTAAAAACAAACTTTCATTATAGTTCAGCAAATGTTTTGTATTAAGAATTTTGTTCAGGCTTGCAAACAAAACCAACTAACTAAGCAGTCCATAATAAAATATTTTACAAGATGTTTCAGTTGTTTAAACTGCTAAACTTCCAAGGGTCCAGAGATTGAAGGAAAAACAAATTAAAATCATACCTGGCCAAAGTTCATAATTTTTTTAAGACAGAGGTAGCATTCAGCACCCCCACCAGTCATATTCTCATCTCTTCATCCATTCTTCATCACCCAATTTTTTTTTTCTCTTCTATCAATTCAGTGTAAAAATTTAGTGGCATTTGTAAGGCTCATGATTTACCTTTGCATTAGCAAGTTACATGACAGCTATTTGCCTCAAAGATGCTGAGGTATTTGAAAACTCTCTGTCACTTTTGAAGCAGGAAAGAGCAGTATCACATGTACTACATGTTGCACATACCAGTAATGAATCTTTTATGACACAAGCCACTTCTTCTAGTGAATTTAACTGAAGGGAAACCAACTGGTCTAAAAGATGTAATGTAGCTCTTTCAAGGCTTGGTAAGTGACGAAGCCAGAGGCTAAAGATAGCTGAATCAGAGAGGGAGATCTTCTTCCTGGTTTAGAGAGAAAAATACTGTTGTCCCTAAGAAACTGGATGGAAAACAAAAATGTACCTTTTTAAAAAAGAAAAGAAAAATAAATTAAAAAATAGACTAAAACCAAAGCAGTCTGGAGAGAAAAAGACAAAAATGGTGAAGAATAACAGCGAATTACCATCATCTACAAAAGAAACCTTACCATATGTCTTTAAAACCTACAAATTTGGTTATGATCGATCCCAGCAATTGGAAATGGAAGGTTTAAGACTGGAGCTCCCATCTTCCTTAGAGAAAGGCCTTGCCCCATACTTCTGCTTTCTAAAACCCAAATGCTCTCTGCACACTTGTCTGTACACAAAATGTCAGCAACACACAGATGTGCAGAAAAGTCCTTTGGGTAATTTTGCTGCTGGCTAAATCAAACCAATACCTGTCTTTGCAGACAGATATGAGAAAAAAAACCCCAAACAGAAAACCAAGGTAAGTAAGTCCTCAGCCCACCAACACTGACCAGAGCCTTTTGAAAGATAAATGGTTAAGAATGCAATTATCTCTTTACCTGAACTTTTCAGCTATAGCTCAGCTGAGGTATAATTTTGCATCACTAGGAAATAACAGGCACAGTTTATTTTGAGACAACACCATAATTTGTGTGGACCAGTACAAATAAATAAATTCTAAAGTAACCACCCACCCAAGAGGGAAATCACAGCATAAATAATCCTGGAGTATTCTTGCAGCTATCATGACAGTTGCAAATTAAAAGGTCAAAACCAACAAAAAATACATAAATAACAAGAAATATGTGTCTTGGTCCTGAACAAATTCAAGTTTAAAAAGTCTAATATTAGGCATGAGAGTACAGGCAAAATAAAGGTACTGATAAGAAAGAAAAATATCAGCAGAAAGGAAGATCTAACACCATTTTAGGATCTATTTTCAACACACCTATTTTACCATACATTCATTTAAATACCAGCTTTCCAAATTTTTATTTCCATTGAAAAAAACTTATTTTTTCCATTCAAAACTATGTAACAGCTTAATTTAAAAGAGCACATCTGTAGATAAGAAACACATTGAAGTACATGGAATTTAAACATTGTAAAGCTGTGCTCTATTTCAATATGCTGTTTAATTAAGTATCACTATGAAAGCACATATGCCCATCAGTAAATTAAGAATTACGGGAGATTATTTAGTTTTGCCACAATCCTCTTTTTTCTTTTTTTTTTTCTGGTAGCATGGCAGGTATTATTGCACCAGAAAAAGAAATCTAATAAGCTTGCTTAGAGCTGTTCCAACTCTGAGATTTAAAAAAACATATAGGAAGTAAACTGTACGTATTATCCTTCTGCAACTGAGCTTGCAGATAGTCCCCTAGCACGGTGCTGAATTCCATGGAGCACTCCAAATTACAGTACTTAGTAACCCTGTTTCCTGGAGCAGGCTTCACCAGTGTTCAGAAGGAAAAAAAGTGTTCAGAACACAGTGACAGAGCTGGGAAACACAGAATTCAGTTGTTAAAGTGGGAGAAAAAATACAAGCACACTCCTGTTAAGATCACCTGAGGCTGAGTGACAGGCCAGAACTATACCATGCAAAGCACATGTGGGCCTAAATCTGCTCTCAGGGAAACTATACGCTTTTGTCCAGGGCACTTCAAGAGTCACTTATTCAAGAGCCACATGAACTGCATTATTTTTGCTCACTGTGCTAAAAAACAGCTCGAAAGTTAAACAAAGGGACGTTTGTTTCAGTCAGAAGAGTATTTTATGACCATCTGAAAGATTCACACTCACAATTTGTATCCCGGCAATTTAAAATTCTGCTTTTGCCGGCAATCTGAGCTCTGCTATTCAAATGCAAGAGAAATATCTTACTAGATACTACCTAATGAGTTTCAACAAGAGCAAGTGCAGAGTCCTGCACCTGGGAAGGAACAACAAAATGTACCAGTACAGGCAATGAGGTGATTTGGTAGAGAGCAGCTCTGTGGAGAAAGGCCTTCCCGTCTCTAACATTCTGTGATTCAGTGATAGTGTATTTAGCATACAAATCCAGAGAAAAGCCATCTAATTGCATGAATAATCTTTATGAAAAGAGCACAAAAATCATACAGACAATACTACTTACTTTAAAAAGGCCTCGTTCACAGCCTCCAGAAACTCTGAACTAAGAACTTCTTCTGATGTACCTCCATGGTAAAGAAGGAGAGTTTCCAGCAATGGAGTTAGATCAGGCAAAGTAACGAGAGGGAGACAGAAAAGGGACACAGCATTCACACGACTGGCTGAAACTCTGAGGGAAAAGTAAATACAGTTCATATTTCAGAAAAGTCAATATTTTAATTTCTAAACCGATACGGTAAAAGAAGATAAATTTATTGCAGAAGGTTAAAGGTAAGAAATGCATAATTATTAGCATCTGATAGTCTGGATTGAAGATTGGGCCAGAGAGCAGCCCACCCTTCCCACCCAGTTTATCAAACTTTCATCCACAGAAAACCAGGCCAAAGAAGCAGTTAAAAGGTAGTACTTGGGTACATTTAAAATAGTTGTATATGAATGTGCAGTATTGCCACAATACCGTTTGGTACCAGACGAAGGAATTAATGGAAGGAAAATGAGCGGTTTTTTAAAATAAGCATGGACAAATTTTATCATTAATTACAAGTGCAAAGTAACTACTATTCTGTCACATTAAACTATCACTCACACAAATAGGGGGGGAAAAAATTGAACTTGTTTTGCTTTCTCTTATATTAACTGTCAGTTAACTTCGGTGATAAAGTTGCATATAGCAGCCAACATTAAGATCATGAAGTTCATGAGGTTCAAAAAGGCCAAGTGCAAGGTCCTGCACTTGGGTCACGGCAATCCACAGTATCAAAACAGGCTGGAGACAAAGGGATTGAGAGTCTCTTTGTCAGGAATAACTTGGGGATATTGATAGATGAAAAATTGGACATAAACTGGCAATGTTTTAAGTTGAAAGAGAGTAGATTTAGATAAGATATAAGGAAGAAATTCTTCACTGTGAGGGTTGTGAGACACTGGAACAGGTTGCCCAAAAAAGATGTGGATGTCACTTCTCTGGAAGAGTTCAAGGCAAGGTTGGAAGGGGCTTTGAGCAACCTGGTCTAATGGGAGGTGTCCCTGCCCATGCAGGGGGGTTGGACTATTTGAAAATCTCTTCCAACCCAAACCATTCTATGACTCTCAGGTGAAATATAAACTCTTACATGAAGCCCAACTTAACAAGATTCTCCACATATCTACATATATAACCCACAATTTCCAACTGAAGCCTAAGTTGGCTGAGACTGTATGAAGGTCCTCACTGAACTGTAAAGATCCAAACTAAAATATATCAAAATTATGGTTAGGTAACACCTACCTCCCTTGAATGTTAGGTCCATTGAACTGGTTCCCTTTGAGTTCTGTAACTAATGAAAAAATCACCTGTTGAATAAAGTAAAATAAAATAAAAAATAAAATTAAATAGATTTTACAAGCTGCAAATAAGCAGACATTAGTTACATGGTTCTTTGTGTAATTGACATACTGTGGAGGTTAAAAGCTTTCTCAGCTCAGTTTGATTTTTTAATTTTTTAATTATTGGTGCCAAATTAAAGCTGTCTGGATCACCAAATAAACAATGCTGCAAAACGTTTTTTGAACACACATTATATGCCTTCCACTCTTGAATACTGAGAAGCGATTTATTGTAGCTCTGCTTCCCCAAGAGTTGTGGCAAAACTTTAAGAACACTACTAATAATTTTGATGCACATTATCTAATTTAATATATACTATGAAATATTAATCCTACTCTTCTTATATTTTAAATGTAGAAGACACTTTTCTAAGATTTAAGGCTCATCTACCATTTTAAATGCAGCAGTGCATACAGCCAAATAGAAGATTCCAAAAGTTACATTTTAATACACAAAATAACATATAAAATCTAAACTTCATAGGGAAAATAATGATAGAACAGGCATCTTTGTTATAACACAACAGCAACAGGAATTTAGTTTTTATGAACATCTATTACAGTATAATCTAATAAAATTTTTTCTCACTTGTTCAGAGATCTCCCACTTTATTTTTTCCTTAAAATGCTGTAAAAGTATCTGAGGTAAGAAAAGATAAACAAATTTCCATTCATGCCCCTTATAACAATGACAGCTCCATGCTCAGAAACTGTTGATCTAATATTAACAAAATCTCAGTTGGACAAACTACTTACATTTTTAACTAAGTGACAATAATAATCTGCTGACGTGTAGCCAAGAGTTGATATGAATGTACTGGTTTCAGCTTCATTACTTTCACACTCAGAGGAAGAAATGAGGTGGCACAGCAAACTCTGCGAGTAATCAACAGAAGAACAAATCAAAATATTAGGCTACAACAGGCTGTGTAAAAAGAACTGACTGCTATTGAACTACATTTGGGGTAAGATCTTTTGATTGGTTGTGGCCATTTTTACTCCATCAACACAGAACAGCAGCCAGCTCCCATCAACCAAAAGGTAAATGCTGCAGCTGCTACAATCAAACATGGGTTCACACATTACACCATTTCAGTAACTGTGCAATAGCAATGGAGGCCATTTGTGTCAAAACCAGACAGAGGATAGATACGTTTCAGTCTGGTATCCTCTGTACAGCAGTTGTTATGTTGCTACACAGCAAAACCCCACCTGCAGTCTTGATCAGTACCATGATCAAGAAGCGACAGGACAAAGTTAACATTCAGTTTTTCTTCTCGCTCCCTCAAGAGGCTCCAGTATTTTTGACAGGATTCATAATTGGACTCATAATTGAATTTGCTTAATATCCTCATTATCTTGAAAAGATAATGATAAAGTATTAAGTTTGACATTTACTTCTGTACCAATTTCACTGTGGAATGTTTTAAGTCACATTTAATAAAACCTTTAAAATACAACATATAAAAAAATTGAAAGAATCCTTTGATGATAGATTCAGAGTAAAGTCAGATTACCACATTTGATACACTGGTTCTGCAGGGGAGTACAGAGGACTCTGAACACACAATCATAGAATCATACAACCATAGGGGTTGGAAGGGACCCCTGAAGATCTAGTCCAACCCCTCCTGCTGCAGCAGGAACACCCTAGGGCAGATCACACAGGAACACATTCAGACAAGTCTCCAGAGAAGGAGTCTCCTCAACCTCCCTGGGCAGCCTGTTCCAGTGCTCTGTCACCCTCACAGCAAAGAAGTTTTTCCTCCTGTTGAGGTGGAACTTCCTGTGTTGTAACTTGATGCTGTTTCCCCTCATCCTATCACAGGGCACCACTGAAAAGAGACTGGCCCATTCTTGACATCCACCCTTCAGATATTATAGACCTTAATAAGGTCCCCCAGTCTTCTTTTCTCAAAACTAAATAGCCCAAGGTCTCTTTGCCTTTTCTCATATGGTAGATGTTCCAGTCCCTTAATCATCCTTGTAGCCCTACTCTGTTGTTTTACTTTCCCAGTTCTTGAGTGCTATACTAGAGCTCTGCTGTCTTTTGGACAGGTCTATACTCCAGCACCTTTCCAAATGTATTAGTTTATGAAAACTGCTGTGTGATATCATGAGCAGATTTTCACATCCTGCTGCCATAATTGAGCACACGTAGTTTCATGTTTCTTATAAAGTTATCTGCTCTGGCTTTGTGACAAGTTTCTTTCCTTCCTGTCTTTTATTTCTACATGCTGATACAACAGCTACATTCCCTTTCCAGAGCTTCATTTCAGGGCTTTATACAACATTGACACTTAAATTACTAACCAAATTACACTTGGCAGTAAAAGTATAAAAACCTTTGAAATAGAGGGTCAGGATTAGCAAACACTGAAAATACGTTCATTTTAAAAATATGTAATTAAAAGGAAAGTTCAGATGAAAGCCCTATGACTTCCATTGTCTTAGGGGGTCTTGTTCTATGTAGTCTTTTTAAAATAGGAACTGTTGAAAGATTTGAGACTAAAAAAATAAAAATCAGCTAGCTCGTTTTTTGCTTTCAGAAATCTAAACAAAATATTTATGCACACTTTTTTTTAACATCCCTAAGCATGTCCTGCAGAAGTCCTGGAATTAGATATGTTCTATGTTTAACTGATGTGAGACAGAAGATACAATCAGCAAAAGCACACCAGAGGTCTAAGAAAACTCATTACTGTCAATATAATTACAAGCAGTTGGGACTCTATTTATTGTACTTTTGTCTAGGATTAGGTTACTACCTAGCAGACTTAAATGCCTAAATGCCCTTTTCATTCACTGCAAACCGTTTCCTGAAGAGCCTTCAGCAGAAGAAATCGCTGTTTTACCGCCATCTAGTGACTTCCCCAGAAGGGAAGGAAAATGCTGTTACAGAGTAGTAATTTACATGCAACTTTTGCATTCCTAAGAAAAAGACATTAAAAGGTGGATTTTCAAAACGTACAAGCATCTAAAGATGTCAAAAGTGAAGGGTAAAATCCTTTTAAATGGTACAATCTCTAAACACCCCTTAGTAAATTTATTAATATGGAACCATAAATAAATTTATTGCCCTTTGCAACTATTACTGAAGTTAAAATTTATTTTCAGAATACTGTCTAGGGTTCAGACAAGTAGCTCCTATAATAAAGAATGGTTTGAAAAGCAGAATGAAATAAGGGATCAGACTGCAAGTTAAAAACAGAATGAAGAAGGAGTAAACAACAACAAACCTGGGATGCCCATTTTGGTAGAAGGAGAGGGGCTTGAGAAATACCAAGTTTGTTGAAAGTTTGCTGTTTGTTGCTCAGTGAAAGAACTGCAATAAGCTTCACCCATAAGAAGAACGTAAAAATGTCTGAAGAGGATTTGACAGGTTGACATAGAAGCTAATGACAGATAAATGACAAAGCAGCCTAAAATCTCATATATTTACCTGTAACACTACAAAATACATTATCTAATCATCTTGCCTGTAATCAGAATTTCCCTAAGGATAAAACAAGTCAAACGCTCTTAATGTGAAGACTAATTTCAAGAGGACTTTCCCCTATCCTTGTGTAGTAGTCACTGTTAACCAATCAAGAGAGAAAAACAAAAGACAAAATCACTACACACCATCAGAAGTCTGCATATGGCCTGCAACACTTACCTGGGTGTTTTGAGGTGGGGGGTTTTGGGTTGTTTTGTTGCTGTTGTTTTTGTGAGTTTTTTAGTTCACTAGTGTTTAATTTGTTTTTTTCTTTTCTGAGCACCTTACTACATCCATGCTAGAATTTTATGGATCATTGCTTTTTTGGAACATAAAAATCCTCTAAACAGCCAGAAGGGGGCAAGGGGAACACGGAATAAGGAGATACTGCAGTCAAGATGAAAGGAGGCATTAGGTATGCAGGAAAGAAAGGTACTTATTAAAGGTGAAAACCATTTAGTATTCAGCTCTTTCTTATGTATTTCATTTTACAGATGCTACTGCCGGTGCAAAGCCTGAGGCATAACTACATGCAACAAAGATAAGAAACTTGATAACAATAATTTAAATGCTTATCTTGTAAGGGAAGTTCTCCATCTCTCTAGAAAATGTAAGCCCTTTACTGCATATAATTCTGGTTAAGAGACTGGCTAGATGGCTGTGTTCAAAGACTTACAATAGCTCAATGCCCAAGTGGGAAACAGTAATGAGTGGTATCCCTCAAGGGTTTGCTATTTAGCATCTTCACCAATGGGATCAGATTAAGTGGAACAGTGGGATTAAGTACACCCTCAGCATGTTTGCAGCTGACACCAAGCTACGTGTTGCTTGAGAAAATGAAGGGATGGTATTCAAAGAAACCCTGATTGTCTTGAGAAATAGGCCTGTGCAAAGCTCACAAAGTTCAACAAGGTCAAGTGCAAGGTCCTGCATCTGAGTCAGGGCAATTCCCAGATGGGGGAATGAATGGATTGACAGCAGCCCTGCAGAGGACTTGGGGATACTGGCGGATGGAAAACTGGACATGAGCCAGCAATGTGCACTTGTAAGCAGGAAGACAGAGACACTGGCACAGATTGTCCAGAGAAGCTGTGAATGCCCCCTGTCTGGAAGTGCTCAGGGCCAGTTTGGCTGGGTCTCTGAGCAAGCTGGTCTACTGGGAGGTGTCCCTGCCCACGGCACAGGGTTGGACTAGACTGTAGTAGTTGAAAATTCCTTCCAACCCAAACCATTCCATGATTCTATTATCTGTATAAGATGAACAGTTTCTTGGTGGAAAAAAAAAAAAAAAGCTTTCAGCATAATCCTCTTGTAATAGCACACTCTGTGTAAGTACACAAATGGTGTGAAAGGGAAAGTATAATTGCTAGAAATGAAGTTTATGCCTAATAAGCTCCAACTAAAGACAATTATTTTTTCGTATGATTTTTTTCTGCTATTTAGCAGATAAGCTGTGTAAGGCAAAAAACTGTTGCAAGATTCAGTTAGAACATGGAAAGGTAAAACAAGCAAACCATTCCAAGATACACGCTCTAAAGAGACAAACTATGAACAAAAAGATCATCAGGTAATTATTTTCCTTCCTCTTTCATTCTATACATCATTAACTTGATAACTGAAAATACAGTGAAAACCCGGAATGGCTAATTTTTAACCAAATGGCAGTGGAAACAGTTGTTTTTACCTCAAGCTTCAAAGTTCACAATGTTTAAATTCCAGTAGTTCTCAGATATAAAGGGATTATATCAGCAGTTATTTCACATCATACTGCTGAACTTTGGTAGAACCAGCTCTGAGACCTAGTGTCAAACAATTTTTTCTTGTATGTAAGTTTCTCCTTTCGCTTTGGAATCAACTGTTTCAGAAAATACTGTAGAGAAATCTAGGTTTCAGGAGATTGTCTCACAGATGCTATAGAGATATTAAAAACTGGAGAGAAATTCCATTATTGCATCATGAAGCCCCCACAAAGCATTGTGGACGTGAAAAAACCAGAATATTTTATATAGCCATAGTGTGGGTTCCCAGGGTCAGAGAGACCACTGATTTGAGACTTACAGCTTTTAAGGATCAAACCCAGAAGAAAGCATTCAAGAACATGATGGGAAAGTTGCAAATACTAAATATATTACATACATACGGTAATGATTATTTTAGTAATGGATCCTAGCCTATTCCAGCAGAATAGACAATTTCAGATTTATGCACTTGTCAGTTATTCCTGGCAGTAAATCAATTACCTCTCACTGTCTAATCCATTAGTGCCATATTCTACAAGACAGAAAGATGGGTAAATCTGTGGACAAAGTGCTGAAATCAGAATGAAAAATAGCAAGGTGTAATGATTTTGGAAAATGAGCAGTAGTCAAGACTACTGTGATACCAGAAATTATATCTT